AACGTTTCCGTTTAATAAGATGTACTCAAAAATTTGCCTTTCATATGTCATTTCGGAGATATTAATTTTTTTGTCCCGCTGTGCGCTTGATCAGTACGCGGCGCGCTTCGCTGCTAGCTCGTCAGCACACGGTGTGCCTGAACGAAGTTTAAGTCACATACAAATTCTGCAGTTTCTTGTTCGGGACCCTTTGGTGACTTAAAAATGATATTTACCAAAATCCTAGCTGCTCCTCTTTTCCTAATTTTTTGAAAAATCTTTTTTATGCATTATGCTTTTTACTATATGAAAAAGTGATTTTTGTCTAACCCTGTATAAATCTAAGCATATATATAAAAACAGTTTCTCTCGTTTACAATATCGGTGTACAAATGTGTACTCTGGCAAAGGTAGACTTTGCTATAAACAAATAATTTTAAAAAAATTGAATTTTTTACAAATTAAAAAAAACAGTTAGAATTTTGGTAAATATATTTTTTAACTTCAACCAATTTTTCGTTCAAAATTGAAAACTACTAAAAAGACTAAATTAAACAACATTTTAAATACTCTCTAAGTGTTATTTTATTAAATGTTATTACAAATCTATTTTTCTTGTAAAAGGTTAATAATAATGCCATTTTGTAACCTAATAGACCTAGAAATATCTAAAAAAAAATTGGGAATAAATATTTTTCGAGTGTTATGCTAAAATCATGAATTTACGCTTTTGCATTATTAAAAATAAGTGATTTTTGGCTAACCCTGTATATATCAAATGATGTGAACAGTATTAAAAAATATTCTCTAAGTCTCCTAAATAATATACTCCAATTTTATAAAAATCCGTGAGCAAATGTGTACTCTGTCAAAGAGATAAACAAAAATTTAAAAAAAAATCATGAATTTTCGAACAATTTCGAAAAGAGGAGCAGCTAGAACTTTGGTAAATATCATTTTTAAGTCACCAAAGGGTCCCGAACAAGAAACTACAATCAGTTTTTGGCGGCATTTTTATGTGACTTAAACTTCGTTCAGGCACACCGTTAAACCGTTCGAACGGACGAGCTAGCAGCGAAGCGCGCCGCGTACTGATCAAGCGCACAGCCGGACAAAAAAATTAATATCTCCGGAATGACATATGAAAGGCAAATTTTTGAGTACATCTTATTAAACGGGAACGTTTGCCGCATATTATGACACAAGATTATTTTTTTTTCAGCGTGAAGAACACATACAAAATTTCAATTGTTTATAATAAATGTATGCAAAATTCTTTTATTTAAACAAATTAACCTTAATTAAATGATCATTATATACTCTAAACATTTCTACAATAGTGTGTAAAATTTAATTCAATTATACAGAGTGGTCCCAGAGATTCTATTTTTTCAATTTTACCGTGCTCTAAAGTTTGACAAAATTGTCAACCTTAATAAAATTACCAAAAAAACGAATTTTAAAACAAATTTTTTACTGTGACATATGAGTCATGCCTACTACACAATAATGTGATTATTTTCAAAATCGGTGATTTCGTGAAATTTTCTGGTCCCACTTGACGTGGTTTGACTCTCCTTATATCATTGATTGGGAAACTCAACGCTTTTATGCTTAACGAGTATAGTTGGGTCGTTTTAAAAACACCCGCCTTCCGCTGTCCGTAAGTTTGAGTTCCAATAACTTTATTAATAATTATTAATTATTATTATTATTATTATTAATTAGTAATTATCGATTCTTATTGATTTAAAAACCAAGTGAAAGCCTAACAAGCCCTTAACAAACTCTTTTAGAAAATTTTTGTTTAGTTATTTCAGAATAATTTTTTTTAATTTTGGAACTTATGAAACACACATTTTCGCATGTCCCATTAGCGTTTTATAAAACTTACACACATGTTTTTTTTTAATATTGAATAACCAGAACTTTGTGTTGCTTTATAGCAGTAACTTAGATACTTTAAAGTAACTTAGATACTTTCTTAGAGAAAATTGGGGGGATTACAGAATGATTACCTAACCTACAACTTGTTTAATTTTAAAAGTAACTGACTTACTCAAAAGTATCTTGATACTTTCGTATAGTATCTTAGATACTTTCTTAAGTATCTTGTAACTAAAGATACTTTGAACCCGAGGTAACTGTTATTTTGTTTAAAGTATCTTAGAAAAGTAACTAGATACTTTTCAGAAGTAACTTTTCCAGCAGCAAACTACTTGCATTAAATACTGCAGTTGCTCATCTTTAGTGAGGTAATTGATATAGCTTTATTTTTAAAGTTATGTATCTGAAAACTGGCGAGGCATTATTTTATTAATGTAGAATTCAAATATTTAAGTTAGATCGAATCCAATTTAAAATTTTCATTGAATTATGTGGCATACGATATTTTATAAAAACATCTTTAGGAAAATGTAAAGTCGCTTAAGTTACATTTACGTTACTTTGTGGGATATAGATTTGATGATTACTTTATCGTTAGCGACATTTATTTTTAATAACTTTTATTATAAAATAAAAAAAATACAAAAAGATTAATTTATAAAATATCACCAACGATATTTTGCCAAAAAATGTTTTAAAATGAATATTATAATATATAATATTATAATATAGCTATAGCTTTCTTTGAAAAAAACGAACGATTTTTATTTACAAACAAGTATCTAACCCATGGTATACCATACCATGATCTAACCGTTATAAATTTGAGTAGTTGTAGTTTGAGTAGTATTTTACGCTAGAACAACAACATACAATTACTACAAAAACATTTTTAACACTATTCAAATATTTAAGTTAGATCGAATCCAATCTAAAATTTTATTAAATTATGTGGCATACGATATTTTATAAAAAACATCTTTAGGAAAATGTTAAATTAGTCTTGTCGCTTAACTACGGTTTCGCGAAAGGATCGAACGGTCGATTTGCAAGGGTTCAAGAAATCGATTGAAACTTTTTTACCTTATTTCTACATTTAAAAGCAGTACTTTTTTCAACAAAAAAATCTCGTTCATTGACTTCGTTTTTATTTTTTTTTTCTTCACTGTGTTAAAAAGGAAGAAATTTAATTTTTTTAAATAAATTTTTAATTTCGAAACTTATCGATTTGAAATTGGGAAAAAATGTAGATCTTACTAATTACTATTCTTCCATGGAAAAAAATATTTAGATTGTAACGTACAGGGGGCGCTGGTGATAATTTAATTTAAAATTTAACAATTTTTAAAGGGTTAATAATCAAAGAAGCAACTTTGTTTTATAAATTTGAGTATAACATGTTAAAGTATTAATATTTGACTATTATTTAATATATTAACTTTTTTATGCAAATCACGTTTCTGTGGCCAGGATCAGTTTTGAATTAGCAGTAAATGTTTAGTTTAGTACATTTTGTCATTTGTATACAAATATTGTTGTGACTTTTATTAATAATTAAGTATAGCATAACACATAAATGACGTTTAATATACAGGGTGTTTCAGTTACGTAGTCCATAAGAAGTTTCTAGGGAATCGCGAAAGTCATCGATTCAAAATTTTAATAGCGTAAATTATTCGATTTATACTTTCTGTCTTTAATTTTGTTATTTTAAACAGGACACCTCATATATTTTTATATTTATATTTTTTAATTAGGTATACATAAAATTCTGAATAAAATTGCTATACCATATCCTATACCTAAAGTCAATATTTTTCGAGTTAATAATTTTTCAATCAAATATTTTAATTAATTTTAAACAATGACAGATTTTGTGGTAACCATGGATACTGTCACATTAACCCACATGTGTAATTTTACAGGTTTGTTGATACAAAATAGTATTGAAAATATTAGAAATTGTTAAATGTCTCTGAAATTGTAACTTTATGAAACAGTAATGCACCATTTAGATGTAGAAACAAGTTTAAAAAAATATATTCAATTCTGGCATCACTTGCAAACAAATGTCCAAAATTTGTTCGATTTTTACGCGAAACCATAGTTAAGTTTACGTTACTTTGTGGGATATAGATTCGATGATTACTTTATCGTTAGCGACATTTATTTTTTTTTACTTTTATAATTAAATAAAACAAAATTACAAAAAAAACTAATTTATAAAATATCACCAACGATATTTTGCCAAACAATGTTTGAAAATGAAAATATACATTAGACTGGGCCAAAAAAATTGACTATTTTTTTTTTGAAAAATATATCGAGAATGTCATTCAGAATGACAACAAAAAAATTTCGTGAAAATTTGAGCCATTAATATTAATTTTCGCTATTTTTGATTTTTAGTCATAATTTGATGTTTTACGAAATGTCAAAACATTGAAGTGAAAAAATTCCTTTTTATTTATTTTTATATAAAATTAAATTCTCTACAAAAAAGGTCTGAATGAAAATTTTCGTCAGACGAGCCGTTTCCGAGTAATTGAGCTTAATAAATCGATGTGTTTTTTCGATTTGCCCTTTTTACTTTGAAATTTTTCTAACTAATGAATCAATGAATATTTAAAAAAGATCACGTCGGATTCTTAAAGGAAATTTAATGTTCTACAAAAAAGGTCTCTTAACATTTTTGCCTAAATTTAATTCTTCAAAAGTTATTCACGAAGAAGAAATTGAAATGAAAATAAGTTTTTTGCACTTCAATGTTTTGACAGTTCTAACGTAAAACATCAAATTATGACTAAAAATCAAAAATAGCGATGAAAGACCTCTTAAAATTAACATTTACAATTTGTTGAATGTTTTGGATTTAGAGCAGCTAAACCTTAATTTAATAGTTTTTTTAGGTAATCCTAAAAATTTCAGTATTTGATTCAACCAATTCCAGCTATTAAATCAAAATAGGATAAACATTTTAATTCAAAAAATTAGTTTTTGTTAAATAAATATTTTAACTGTCAAATGAACAAATAAACTTTGACAAACTCTGACTATTGCTTTGACACCAAAATATAGATTAATCCAAAAGGTTTTTAATGAAACAACATTTCCAAAAATGACATTTAGGCAAACATTAACTCAACTACATTATTTTTTTCGGTGTAGAAATATGCAACCTCTATCAATTTAAAATACTCATATTTAGGATGAAATAAAAGAGATCGTGTCGATTTATACTTCTATTAATTCCATATGAATGTGTGTGCCATTGCAAGTATATGATGTGGGGGCATCATTGGGATAATATCACAGTAAATTTGTGTCGACAAAATGCTGCAATATGTATTGCATCCTATTGCAATACTCGCTGTCGTTTACAGACTGAATTTCGAACGTCTTGAGAAAATCCTCGGAATTTTGCTGCCTTTCAACGTCGGGACATTCGTGCTCGGTCATGACTGCAACATTGACAACAAGAAACGACATTCCCAATCCAAATTTCGAGAATTTTTTCCAGTGTTCCATTAAAGTGTGCCAGGGGAAAATTTGCTCGACGTCCAATTTAAAATATGCCAGTTGCTGCGTAAGCCGGCTGTGGTAGACTTTGAGCAATTTATTTAAGCCTTTGAGAGACTCTTTGCCGGAGCTGGTGCACAAAAAGTACGATAAATCCAAAACGGGAGATCCGAATCTAGAGAGCTGCCAATCAATGAATTTTACGTCCTGTAACTCGTTCAATCCGTTTGAGTTCTACAACGCAAGAAAATTAAATTTAGAATTATTAAATAAAATTAAGTTTCACATATTATTAGATAAATTTAATAAAACACTAAGTCCGAGCTCTATAACAGTTGGTAAACATCTGGTTCCCTTAATAATAATTATGTTATGATTAAGCTAACTTTCAAGCTGTATACGCTAAAAAAGTATCGGGTTTTCGCAACGCGCGCGCCATCTGGTGGACCTACGAATGCATTGCATGCCCTAATTTCAGTTTCAAAACCAGTGATGGCATATTTTTAAATAGGTATAACAATAATAACAGATTTGGAGTAACATATTATATATGAACACTCTTAGACCAGTGCAGAAGCCTTTAAAAATGGTAAAAAGATAAAAAAAATAACAGTAGGATGAAACCCATTGGAAAAGGAGGGGAATATAATAAAAATTAAAGGAAAAATAAATTACGGGCGATCTGAGTGGGAGGGGGGGGTTTAAGAGTAAAAAATGGTTTATCTCGATTTCCGGCAAAACTACAAGTCCTATGGAAAAAAGTTAAATGACAAAGTTGTAGGTAATAAAAAGATCTACAACTTTTGTATTTACAATTTTTTCACATAACCTCAAAATTTATGTGAAAAATTCAAAAAACCAAGTTTTTGGTTTTTTATTTTTATCTTTTTCAAAAAAAAATTTTTTCCACGAAATTTGGTGAAAACTTACCTTTTTATGTCCCAAATACACTGTAATTTATTTGATTTGAAATATTTATTATTTCGCCTTATTTTGACTTAATATCAAAAAAGCACCCTAATTTTCAATCGAAAATTCTCGCGTCAAAATATCAGCTTTTTCAAAAAGTCGGTGTGCTTTTTGTTCGATGAACTCTCTACTTTCTGATGGTGTAAAAAAAAGTATACATTACTATGGTAAATGTTCTCAGAAAATACAAAACATATTATAATGAATAACGTAATCAGAATGAAGTATCTAAACTCAATAGTATGATTTACATGTATTTTTATATTTTATGAGATTTTCTGATATAAATGTTATTAGAATTTAATAAATAAACTTTTTAACTAAAAAAAATTGCAACAATCACATTTTTTTGATGAAATTGTACATAATGATTAAAATAAATTTTCGAATTCGAGTTTTTTTCGTTATTCATTATAATATTTTTTGCATTTTCTGAGAACATTTACCATAGTAATGTATATTTTTTTACACCATCAGAAAGTAGAGATTTCAACGAACAAAAAGCACACCGACTTTTTGAAAAAAGCTGATATTTTGACCCGAGAATTTTCGATTGAAAATTAGGGTGCTTTTTTGATATTAAGTCAAAATATGGCGAAATAATAAATATTTCAAATCAAATAAATTACAGTAAATTTGGGACATAAAAAGGTAAGTTTTCACCAAATTTCGTGGAAAAAATTTTTTTTTTGAAAAAGATAAAAATAAAAAACCAAAAACTTGGTTTTTTGAATTTTTCACATAAATTTTGAGGTTATGTAAAAAAATTGTAATTACAAAAGTTGAAGATCCTTTTATTACCTACAACTTTGCCATTTAACTTTTTTCCATAGGACTTGTAGTTTTGCCGGAAATCGAGATAAACCATTTTTTACCCTTAAACCCCCCCCCTCCCACTTCCCGAAGTCAGATCGCCCGTAATTTATTTTTCCTTTCATTTTTATTATATTCTTCTCCTTTTCCAATGGGTTTCATCCTACTGTTATTTTTTTTGGTTTCAAAAATTATCGACCCTGGTCTATCTGGACAGTTGTCACGAACACGTTACGAATTAGAATAAGGTAAGCTAAAACATAAGTTGCAGACGCTGAAGTCAGTTGAACTGGTTGATGCGTATTGTCAGTGGGAAATGTTTTGAGTAGCTGCGTAAAATCACGTGTACTTTTTTAACAAAATAATTTGTTAAACATTAACAAAATAATCTGTAACCTTTAAAAATTAACAAAATGTCATATTACCCAACAAAAAATTATGTTAAAAAATTATAAAATTAAATTAACAAACTACAAACGCATGTTAACAAATCTGATTATTATAACAGTGCACATACCTATTAAAGTATAGAAGATAAAATTAAACGGAACATTTATCAAACAACTTTTCGTGATTTAATGCTAATTAGAGTAGAGTAGTTAGAAAGCTCTTGTCCCATTGGGTTTTAGTTTTATTTTTAATGTACTTTAATGTAAGAAAAGAACATTCTCCGCTGCAGTTGGTGTTCATTTAACTTAAGTATTAATTATTTCTACATTTGGAAAACACAATTCTAATAAATTTTCCATTAAAAGTATAAAATTGAAATTCTAAAGCATCGTGCTTTTTGCTGTCAATAGCAACTCAGCGAACTGCACCAGTTTGTTGCGGGGTCCATCAAGGCGTGGGGCCCGTAGCATTTGCTACTTTTGCTTTGTTGCTAATCCGGCACTGGGCGTTGAAAATAGTAGATTATGTCATAAGGAGTAGAAGTGTTTAACCATTATTTTACAAACTTAATATTATCCATAATTATTTATATTAAATATTTAGATATAACAAAAACACAATTCGGTTTTTCATTAGATTTTCACTAGTTTTGTAATTTGTGGTCCTCGTACTCGCCAAGGCCGTCTAGGCGAAACAAGAGCAAGAAAGCAGGGCCTAATTAAAAATAATTTAATTTTTCGCATTGAAAAATATATTTTTTCTGAAAAATTAAAAGAGCCTATTTTAGGCTCGTAAAAATTTCCTTTTAGGACCCTAAATCAAAATTTCGCCATTTTAGGCTTTTAGGCAAAAACAACCCAAGCAACACAAAATCGTCTAATAGACGTTTAATATTTGTCTATACCAATGGTATATCATTGGTTTATTGTCTACCTCTAATATAGGTTAAAATGTCCGCCTAATATAGGTTGATGCATATTATAGCAATATCCATATTTTAAACGTCTACACTATACGTTTATTTATAATACAAACTTGACAATTAAATATCTGTTTTTTATAAAGGTTACATTTTAATATATAATATACCAAAATTAAACGTTTATCAAAAACTTCTAAAAGCCATAAACGATATACGTTAATATTGAATATTATTTTAAGGTGAAATTTTTTACATAACATTATTGTTTAGGCCGCGGCTCTGCTAATCTGGAAAAAGAAAATAAAAACAAAAGTTTTTACATTTGAATGATTTTTTAATATATATAAAAATATTTTTAGCTCTAATAATTCCATTTTCATTAAATTAAAATCGTAAAACCATGCATGGTTTTATCAATGCATTGATAATTAAAATTACAGTAAAATTTACTATATTTATTCTTTGCATTTAATTTAAGTGAGGCATATTCTTTCCAGATTTGCAAAAACTTACCTAAGTGTAGTAGTAACTCCAAGGTAAAAAAAAAGTTTAAAAAGAAACTGAGCAGATGACAAACGAATATATTTTCATAAATAATTATTTATTATTTTAAAATAACTAATTAAACAAATGTTAAGTTTTAACATCATTGAATCATTGCTTTGATAATTTGAGCCAATCTTGACAGGCTTGTCCTATGGCTTTGTCAGTTATTTCCCTGGACTTGATCTTTTCCTTGAAAGGACAGTTTCACTGCCTCTGTAAAACAGTAAAAAACAATGTTACTAAAAAGTACGACTGTTTACATATATTTTAAATAACTTTTAACTTTTTATTCTGTGGTAAAATAAAAATATAATAAATAAGTGGTTATAATGTACGTTTATAAATAGTATACCATAAACCAATAATAGGTCTTTAAAAAAATAAAAAATATTGATTATTTTAAAAATTCTAAAGTGATGTTAACCTAATCCAAAAATAAACCATCTAATTTAATGCAAAACGAATATGTCGCATGGTTAAAACTTCTGCAAAGGTTACGGATTTTTGCCGGCTTCGTCAAATAAAACCACCAATTACCTATTAGTTATTTGGTGCAAATTAAGTAATCTGAAATTTCAATTAAAGTAGGTATATACTTACTTTATTAGCTGTATTCCCACCAAACAATACAATAAATTAATCGCTATCCACTCACAGTAAACAGTAAACATAACTTATACGGCAGCCATTATCAACACAGGACACATGTGACCGGTAACGGCAAAACGAAGCGTCTAGAAGGAATGATCACGTGACACGCGCCTATTGGTTTAAACAATCGTCTTAGTTACGAGTAATACCGAAACAGTGCGAACCATGAACATATGTATACAAGTATTATGAAAACTGAAGTTCAGTTACTGAACCACGTAGAAAATTATTGGTACCTATAAGTAACGCGTTTATTTTTAAGAAAACGATAGACAACTTTATTTTTATTTAGGTACAAAATCAAATATCCAGCTAATATATGACATAAACATTGTTTCTATCGCTAACAAATTTGTTAGCGGTGATAAATACATTTAAATATTACTTGGCTTACAACAACAAAATTTATAGACGTAGATTTCTCGTATTTTTAGACGTTGAGCTTACATAAAAATATATATATAAAAAAAACGTTTACAAAACACTTGAATGTAAACAAATTTGATAAGGGTAAATAATTCCAATTTCATAAACATGCTTTATAGTTGTTTTTATAATATATATATAGATTGGGTGATTAATATAAATTTATATATTAAATTGATAATTTTATGATTTTAAAATAGTATATCAAGTACGTAGAATATACGACTGAAATATGTACGTTTATAAAAAACGCTTAATATAATATATTATGTTAAATAATTATACCAAAACCAAAAATATACGATTAAATGGTTTATTATACGTTTATTAAACGATTATGCAAATGAGTGTGTTGCTTGGGAAAGGGGTGTCAAACGCTTTATTTTTTTAAGTTTTGGATTAATATCAAGGTCTCAAACAAATGCCTGAAATAGAAACGAAAAGGCATTTTGCATAAAATTTAATAAATTATCACTAAATGTTCCGTGCGATTATAATTAATTTAATTAATACATCG